ATGCGCTTGGCGGGGCAGCGCAGGCACGGCGATCGCCGAGGCATGGCACCATCGGTATCGTAGAACTGGTGAGGTTCATGCGCGACGTTTGGGCGAAGCAGCTGGTCGCCTACCCGATCTGGCAGCCGATGGAGTTGCTATCTTTAGTTGCGCGACCTGGGGCGCCTGGTCGTCGTCGGCGGCGCCGTTCAGGCAGTTGAGTTCCTCGGGGGTGGAACGGTTCAAGGCGCTCAACGGCTGGTCCAACCGAGGCGCCAGACGCGTTCATGCACGAGCTGCTGCCGACTCACTGCAGGAGCTTCAACAATTGATGGTTGCAATAGGTTCGCTTGGTGTCGTCCACAAGAGTGCCAGAGATCCACCGCCTCTAGTTGACGAGCTACATGCTGGTGGTGATCGCATCGTTCGTCGATCGCGTCGATAGTAAGGTAGGAAAGTGGAAGGTGAAATTCTCTTCCGAGTCCATGACCGGGGGGCTCATTCTCGAGGCGCGACGCATGACCAGAGAGCACGCAGGGTGGAGTTACTCGCGCCTTTGACTGATGCCTTCGCCAAACTGCAAAAGTCATGACAGCGAAGCGGGCCTCGGCATGGGCAGAATTTCGCCGCTGGCTGGGCTCGGGATGTTCCCTGACCGCGCGCTTCTTGCGTTGAGTTGATTGCGCGCGATGATTGAGCAAGGCCTGCCGCGGCCATGGCAAGTGACGATGGTTGTTGGCCACAGGTTGGGAAACATGTCAGGGGGCGACCGCGTCGTCGGCCTCGCCGCCACGCTGCGCGGGCTGCGGGGGAACGGCGGGGGAGGAGCAAATGCGGCAGCGGGAGCAGGGCGGGGGGCCCACGCGGGGCGCCGCGGTGGCCAAAAAAAGCGCATTGCGCGAAAACCTTCGCGCGAGCGCTCGAGGAGGAGCTGCTCAGTCGCCTGCAGGCCCCGCGCGGCCGCGCCTTCATCGACGTGGAATTCTTCTACGGCGCGACCGGGTGGCCTGCGTCGGCGCGAGGGGCGCTCCGTTCGCGCCCCACCCCCCGCCGCCGCCCTCTTCCTCGAGACCCAGCTTTATCTCTGCCAACGCGTGGCCGCGCAACTGCCCCCCCCCCAGCCCGCTCCCCCAAACTGAAGATCCGCGGCGCAGGATTTTCGGACAGGGACGCGCGTTGCGCGATGCGTGGCGCATTTGGTTTTGCAGCTGCTATGTTGGGCGCGTGCCATGCAACCCTTTCGGGGCGCTCGTGGATTGGCGAGCGACTGCTGCAGGGGCAGGGCCTCCAGATGTCGCCCGGGAGGAGGGCGGCGCGCTCTTCGAGGGCGGCTGTCGCCATCGCGGCGCCGTCGGCGGCGTCGAGCGGCGCCGTCGCCATCTCTTCTCCGAGCGGCGCCGCCGCCGCGGCGCTGTCGCGATGGCGCAGGCCCCTCGGCGACGCGGCGTTCCCGCGCAGGGCTGCCGACAGGCGGCGCGCTTGTGCGCTGGCCTGGGCGGCGGGGGGCGCCCCGCCGAGGCAACTGCCCGACCGCGCATTCTCCGGACAGGCGCTCAGCATCAGAAGTTGAGATGCGGATCGCGGGGGGCTTCCTGCAGCTGCGGTGCGGCGCTCCGAATGCGACGCGGTGGCCCGCGGGCAGCAGGTGTCCACGGGCGTCAGTTGCATGGGTGCTCGGGATCGGCGATGGCATCGCACGAGCAACGTTTGGCGGTGGCGGCGGCTGGTTCTGCTGGCGAGGGCGATGCGCCGCGACGTTGCCGTCGCCGCGCTTGCCTGGATCCGGTGGAGGGCTCACATCGCCTCGGCAATGCCTGGCGCAATGGCTGCAAGCGTGGGTCACGGAGCCAAGATGACGGAATGGTGCTAGCCAGAAATGGGCCCGCACGGTTGACTTCCCGCGTCGTCTACCCGGGCCCCATCGGTCTCGACGAGTGCGCGGCCCAACGTCCACTGCCATCGCCCGTCTGTGAAGGGCGGGTTGGGCGCCTCCCTCTACTGCGGAGTGGTAGACCACGGACGATAGAACACTTGATCGTCACGTTGCGGAAATTCCTCTGAAGTGATCGTCGGGCAAGATCAGTGGGCTCCCCTTCTCGGGTGAGTTCGAGGAGCCGCGTGCCTTGCGACGGTGGCATGTGGCTCCCTTGGATGTCGGTGGCGAGGGCATTGCTGGCGGCGCGGATTTGAATAGCTGTCGCGTGCTCTTGGTCAACCGTTCTCACGGATAGAAAGGGCGGCAGCACGCGGAACTGAGGCTCTGGATTGCCGCGGGAGGCGTTAGGCCCAACGAGCGCAAGCTTCAAGCAAGTCTCTCTGATTCCGCAGTGTGTGATCGATGTCGTGAACAGCCAGAGTCAGCGATCCACCGTGCACGGGGGTGACTCAGATATGTCAGTACAGCGTGCCCTGGCAGAGCAGAATCGTTTCCCATGGTTCTAAGACCAAGGAATCATCCGAACTAATTGGCCATCAATTTCAAAACCAACGCTGGATCCCATTCAGGCTTCCGAGACCCTCGGGTCTGACTGCGGGCCTGGTGGTTTCGGACGTCGATCGCGTGCCTGGCCTCTCCTGTATTGTTTTAGGGCAAATGTGATCGTGATGGAAATGCCCTCGCACATGACGGTGGAGGGGATCCAGCAGCGGAGGACTGCAAGCTGGCTGACACAAGGCAACGAGGCAGCGAACGTCATCGCTGGCAAAACTGGGAGGTTGTGCAGCCTTGCGGAGCCTGAGCGGCATCGAAGTGCGTGGGTTGGGCGTGACGCTCGGCTTGTGCGACGCCGCCTGCTGGGAGCCGCCGTGTTTCAGGAGGGAAAAAAACACAGGCACAATGAACCGTTCGATCCCCCAGAGAAGTATAGGAAATTTATTGGAAGTCGGGGGGGGGAGACAACAGCTCAGAACATATGGGAACCTGTGGGGAATCTGGCTATTCGTGTCTGATTATTTGAGTGTCCCAAGGCCCCCTTCCTTGTTTGTCTGTGCCGTCGGGGGCCGCGGCTCGACGAGCCCGGGAGGGCAGGGCTCGGTCGGGAGCCTCCTGCGCGCTTCCTCCCACAGCCCTCCGCCCGCCCCATAGAACATGAACGCGCTCCGCGACTACACCTAGGTCGGGCGTGTCCCCCTACAGGGAGATCTTGGACGGGAAATCCAAAATAGCCAAACACCTACATCAACATGGCAACAACATGCGAAACACATCTCCCCCAGGCTACTTGTCTTACGATTTTTGAGTTTTCCTCCTGTAGAGGGACGTAGGGACGTGACCGACTTACGACTACAAGTGCCCTGGCCGAGCACGGGAGGTGATGTGTTCATTGTCAGGGCTGCTCGTCAGAGCCGTCTGTGAGATAGTGGCTAAAAAGTGAATGCTTCGCCTCAGAAGGTGTTTGGGGCAAGCTTTTACGGCTCCCCCAAGCACGTGATATCCACATCGCGGAAGGTCGGAACCACCCCTATCACACCCTCTTTTATCAGACGAGTGTTGATACATTCTTCTGCGACACGTGCGGCTCTTTTGGCCACTCCCAGTTCAGGGAACTTGGTGGGCCATGCCAAAAGCCCATGTTCAAGACGAGATGGGAGTACCTCCACCACCAGAAGTGTAGCTGCCACCACCACCGCCAGCAGGAGAAGCCGCTTGAGACTGCGCCATGGCTGGGAGCCAGAGCAACGAATAATGACTGGAACGAGCGCAGGCGCCACCTGCGTACTGTAGGCTGAACTGCGCAGGCGCCACCTGCAAACGGAAGGCAGTGGGACGAAGCCAAGAAAGGCTTGAGCCAAAATGGCTTGAGCCGAAATTGCGACAGAAACCAATACCTCGGTGCTCACAACCTCGAACCTGAAGCCTCGCCCTTCGCGTTATCTGTGTTGATTGTGGTGTTCTCTATCTTTTTTGTTTTGTTGTTTCTCTCTCGCTCTCTCTCTCTCTCTATGTGTCTCCCTTTCTCTCTCTTATCCCTCTCTCTTGTCGTTCCCGTTGTATAGAGGGCAGACAATCCGCTCCGACAATAACCACCCCGACACGCGAGGCCGTCGTAGTAAACGCACCCAAAGAAATAATCAAGCAGGGCAGAGCTGTTTAGTAAACGCCCAAGGTCGTCTAGTAAACGCCAGTTGTCGGGTACAGGTGGTTTCTGTCCTCCCTTGATTGTAGCTACAGGTACAAACACCTGCATAAATATAGATACGTGTGCATATGCAAACGCATAGCGTTATAACTGTGCAGGAGAACTCCTCGAGCGGGAAGATTTGGAGTGCAGCAAAGCTCCAGATGAGGAAGACTTCGTTGACAACGACCATGATGACGATGACGTTGACTCAGACCTCTGCTGCTGTGGGTTTTAGCTGTGCTGGGCCACCTGGGCAATCTCAGCTCCTTGCCCAGGGCAGCTTTTCTGTACCGGATCGTCTTCGCCAGGCACCTAGCCTGGAAACAGCCCCATGAGGCCGAACATCGAGAACGACCCCCGAAATGATTTGCAGACAACGCCGAGGGCTTGCAAACATGGAAACAGCGACGGCGATGATGATGATGATGATGATGATGATGATGATGATGATGATGATGACGATGATGATGATGATGATGATGATGATGATGATGATGATGATGATGATGATGATGATGATGATGATGATGGTGGTGATGGTGGTGGTGATGATTGTGATGCTGATTCTGAAGATAATGGTGCTGGTGCTGGTGATGATGCTGATGCTGATGTTGGTGAAGATGCTGCTGATGATGAGATAGCTGATAGGGAATAGGATGGAGATAATGCTCAAAATGCTGCTGATCATGATGACGATGATAAAGATATTGATAATGATGATGCTGCTGATGATGATAATGATGATGCGGATGATGATCATGCTAATGATGATGATGATGATGCTGACGATGGTGACGGAATTAATGATGGTGGTGATGGTGGTGATGCTCATGGTGGTGATGGTTATGCTGTTGATGATGATCATCATCATCATCATGTTCATGAGAATGGCGATGATGATGGTTATGATCTAGTAGAAAGACCTGCGGCCAAATCATCCGACCCCGTCTTCTCGGAACCGGTCTGGGAGTCCTAGGTTCCATCGCAATCAGTGCGCCGCCGACATCTGGGAGTTCAGCACCGCCGCCTTCTGCTCCAGCAGCCTGTTGAGCACCTCGGACTCCCTCTTGGCCCTCCGGAGGGCCTGCTTGAACCTGCGCGCGAGGAGGAGGGACGGGGGAAGGGTGAGGGGCACGTTTGGGGGGGACCACGCCGATAAATCGGCGGTAGGCCTCCGAATAGAAATCCGCACGATCCTGGGGGGAGTGGGGGGCTATCAGGCCCCTATCGGCGATGCATGGTCGATTGGGGGTCGATGCATTCGCTCTATAGGAAGAAACAGCTGCATGGGCGCGCGGAGGCGGCGCCCGAGGCGCCGCTACGGGGGCCCAGCCGCCGATCCAAGAAATCCGCGCGGGTCGTTGAAAGTTTACGTTTACGTAGTTGCTTGCCCATCGACCCCAGAAGGCCCCAAAGAGGCTCCCATACACAAATTACCGACGATCCTCCACCATCAGGGGAGGGGGCCCGGAGGCCATGCACGCCTCGGCGGATATCCTGGGGGCACCTTGGCCTAGGGACACCTACGGCATAGAAAACTAAACGGTTGCATAAAGAGAAACACAAAATTCGGAGGTCCGCGCGGATTTCTTGGACTGGCGATGGATCCCCTCCCCCCCGCGGAGCGCGCCAAGGGCGGCGCTGGAGGCGCCGCCAGAGGGCCCAACGCCGATCCGAAGAATCCGCGCGGACATCCGAGTTGCTATGTTTATGCAGTTGTTTTGTGATCTACTCTGGCAGCACCCGGTGAATAGCCCGTAAGCTCGTTCCCCCGAAGGCCTCCCACGAAATGCCTCTTTCCTGCAGCATTCCCGGACGGAAGCGCCGCAGGTGCCTTCGAACTCCTAGACTTTCCTCTCAGGGGGCAGCGCCAGGAGGACGCATCGATACCCAATCGCCCATGAAGAAGGGAACGAACAATTCCATAAACATAAACTCGGCGCTCCGCGTGGATTTCTTGGGTCTACGTTGGGCCCCACTGGCGACGCCTCCGGCACCGCCTCTAGCGCGCAAAGCGCGCCAGGGAGGGGGGTCCAGCGCCGATCTAAGAACTCTGCGCGGACGTCCGAATTGTTATCTTTACGCAACCGTTTAGCTCTCTCTCTCTATATATATATCGTCTTCTGTATATATATGTGTGTGTGCCAGAAGTGTCCCTACAGTAAGAGCTCGACCACAAGAAACATTCCACAAGAAACCCAACCCTGAGACCCCATGACGTCCATGGCTTTCTGGTGCGGGAACGTCACGCGTTCCATGATTCGCAAAACCACCGAAACCCAAAAAACCCAGGGCACCCTGGGATCAAGCAGGGTGCTTCTTGGCATGGGCTTCCGCTGTATGCCCAGGTGCCCCCAGCATTTCCAACGAGGCGTGCATGGCGTCCGGGCCCCCCCTCACGATGCCCCAAAGGCCCTGCAGGGACCCCACCCGAGGTGACGCGAGCAAAACCGGGGTCGCGTTGGGCCAGGGACACCTCTTCAGCAACCGCCGAATGCAGCCCGATTGGCGAGCCCTTACGCCGAGGATGAAGTACGAAGCTGGACTACGTACGAAGCTGGACTGAGCGGGATTCGGCCACATCTAGCGGGATCACGCCAGGGCTGGATGGTTATCAACAAAGGAGATGTCGACCCCATATCCCAGGCTTCGTGGGGTTTCGAATGGACCAAACATTTGCGGCCCACCCTTGGATATACGAGGGGGGGGGCGTCCATCCTCGATACGGGTGCGTCCGAGTAGCCCCCTTGGGGTGCATCCCAGAGCTCCCCCCTTGTTCTGAACGGTCAGACCTTTCGGGCAGAACTTGGGGATTGGGGGCGAAAAATCGCCTACGACTCGACCACGCACCTGTCGTCTCTCCTCCTTCTAATCATCTTGCCTCCTCCATCCTTTTCCCCTTCCCCTTCACCTCCTCCGTCCCCCCCTCCTCCTTCCTCCCATTCCTTTGCTTCTTGCATATCTTCATTGTCGCTGTCTTCGCCGTCGTCCCCCTTCAGGGTCGGCGGCACCGGCCATAAGGCCTTCGCAAGAGACCGTGTTTTTCCCAACCACCCTGTGGTGTTGGGTCCTCACTTTGAAGAGACGGTCCCCGCGTTCTCCTCTCCTCCTCTTCCCCCTCCTCCTCCCACCGTCCGCATGCGTCCCGCACACCCAGTACAGCGTTTCGTGGCCCAATAAGGAGCCTCACCGAAGGTCCCAGTGCTACCGTCCGCATGCGTCCCGCACACCCAGTACAGCGCTTCGTGGCCCCATAGGGAGCTCCACCGAAGGTCCCAGTGCTACCGTCCGCATGCGTCCCGCACACCCAGTACAGCGTTTCGTGGCCCTCCCCCCCTTCCTCCCTGCGTTTCACCTGCCCAGTACAGCGCTTCGTGGCCCCACAGGGAGCCCCACCGAAGGTCCCAGTGCTACCGTCCGCATGCAGTGCTACCGTCCGCATGCGTCCCGCACACCCAGTACAGCGCTTCGTGGCCCCATAGGGAGCTCCGCCGAAAGTCCCAGTGCTACCGTCCTCATGCGTCCCGCACACCCAGTACAGCGTTTCGTGGCCTTCCTCCCCCTTCTCCCTGCGTTTCACCCACCTTGTACAACGCTTCGTGGCTCCATACCCAGTGTGACCGTCCGCATGCGTCCCGCACGCCCAGTACAGCGCTTCGTGGCCCCACAGGGAGCCCCACCGAAGGTCCCAGCGCTACCGTCCGCATGCGTCCCGCACACCCAGTACAGCGTTTCGTGGCCCCATAGGGAGCTCCACCGAAGGCCCCAGTGCCCCCGTCCGCATGCGTCCTGGAAGCCCAATTTGGCATTTTCACCCACCCAGTGCAGCGTTTCGTGGCCGCATATAGGGGGCTCCACCCAAGGCCCCAATGCCACCGTCCGCATGCGTCCGGGAAATGTAATTTGGCATTTTCACCCGCCAGTGCAGCGTTTCGTGGCCCCATAGGGGGCTGCACCGAAGCCCCCAGTGGAACCGTCCGCATGCGTCCCAGAAACCCAATGTAATATGTTCAAACACTCAGTAGAGTCCAGTAGAGCGCTTCGTGACCCCATAGGGAGCTTCACCAAAGCCCTCAGTGGGACCGTCCGCATGCGTCCCGGAAACCCAATTCGGCACACCACCCAGTACAGCGTTCCCCCCCGCCCAGTGCAGCGCTTCGTGGCCCCATAGGGAGCTTCACCGAAGCAGATATTCACAATTACGGTACCCACAACTGCATATGGTTGGGACCTTCGCCAGGATAATTTTTGAATCGGCGATAACCCGGGTTATCCCGGGGGGGGGAAGGAGGAGGGGGCCGGCCGATAACGTGACCCTCGCGCTGTGGGCAGCCCTGCATATGCCCGCGCGCCCCACCCCACCCTGGATCTGCACAACCGGCAAGGTGAGGTTCTCCTGGGGGGGGGAAAGGGGGGCACGCCCGATCACCCGGGTTATCGCCGGACCCTAAGAAAAAACACTCTCCAATCGCCCGCGACTCGACCACGGATCGGCCGGCCCCGACGGTGGACTCGACCTCTCCCGGGAGCTGCAAGCCGAGGGCAAGGGCCTGCCGAGAGGCCGCCTGCCGGCCACTGGAGGAGCCGACAACGCCATGAACATGCAGTTTCGGAAGCTCGGGCTTGCGGTTATGTTAGGTCGGGCCTGTCCCCCTTCAGGCCGATGTTCGAAGACAAATTAGACATAATCACACACGCACAGAAGAATCAAACATTTATATTTAAATAATGAAAAATGGGCCCCAGACTATTTTCCGACTATTTTCGAATATTCCTCCTGTAGAGGGACAGGCCCGACTTAACGGTAATGGAGGGTGACCCAAATGGGGTGGGGGGAAGAAAAGACCCACAATGGGGCCCTCTAGGGCCCCTTCTGGGGCCAGTGGGTGCCCAAGCGGGGCCATGAAGGGCCCCTCGAGGGTCTTTCTCTTCACCCCCCATTTGGGACACCCCCCATTTCCACCCGCCCGAAAGGTCCACGCAGATTTACAACACTTGGCCTGACTTAAGGAACGATACATCAGGAAGGAAGCCCCCTTTTGTTCCAAGTAAGTCTAGGGAGTCCGAAGGAACACCAGGGGGGCTCGCGGCCAAAAAAGTAGCGGAACGCATGCGGACCAAAAGAACGACCGAGCTCCTTTTGAAAATTGAGTGCTCCTTATTCGAGAGAGAGCGTGATCCACCGCCGCTTTACTGTGGAAAATTGCCAACCTTTTCCTCCGGAACCCGGAGGTCCCACGCTGGTAACCCTTCCGCCCCCCCCGCCCCCCATCTTCCCCCGGCAAAACCCCCACCTCCCCTAACCCCCCCCCCCCCCGGCCCCCCCCCCCCCTCCCGCTGAAACACCGGGGGGGGGTCATAACGGTTTCTAACCCCACCCCCCCCCCACCCCCCCCCCTCCGGATTCCGGAAAACCGGGGGGGGTCACTAAACCGGTTCGAACCCCCCCCCCCCCCCCCCCGCCCCCCCCCCCCCCTACTCACCGCCAGCAAACGACTCCCGGTCCCCACCACCGTCCGCATCACATCCCCCACTGGTGTTCCAAGCGCCACTGTCCTCACCACCGCTGTCCCCACTGGTTCCACCACCGCCCCTACTGTCCCCACCAGTGGCCCCACCACTGTCGCACTGTCCCCGCTGTCCCCAGAACTGTTCCCACCACGGTTCCACTCTCCCCACTGTCTCCACGGCCCCAACCAGTGCCCGACTATCCCCACTGTCCCCACTGTCCCACTAACTCCTCCGCTGTCCCACTGAGCTGTCCCACTGTTCCCACCACTGTCCCCACTGTCCCCACCACTGTCCCCACTGTACCTCTGTCCCATTGTCCCACCGCCGTCCTCGCCACCGCCTTCACCACTGTCCCCACCACCATTGTACCCTCCACTGTCCCACTGTTTCCACCTCATTCCCATTGTCCCCACACCACTGTCCCCACCACCACCGTCACCACCACTGTCCACTGTCCCCCCCTGTTCCCACCATTGTCCCCACCACTGTCCCGCTATCCCCTCACCACTGTCCCCACCAACACCGTCCCCACCACTGTCCGCACCCCCACTCGGTTTTCGAGGGGGGGGGGGGCTCGAACCGGTAGTGACCCCCCCCGGTTTTCCGGATCCGGAGGGGGGGGGGGGGGGGGGTGGTAGGGTGGTGCAGGGGTTTACGATACCGGTAGTGGGAGCACCAACCCCCCCCCCCCCCGAGGAGATAGGGATAAGCCAGGGATACATCCGTAGCCGGTTTTCATGATGAGCAGGGGGGAGGGGCGGAGGGGTGGTGGGAGGGGTTCGAAACCGGGTAGACGGGGTAGTGACCACCCCCGGTTTTCGGTGGGGGGAAGAGGGGGGGGGTGGTGGGTGGGTGGGGAGGGGGTCGAACCCGTGGTAGTAGTGACCCCCGCCGAGTGTTTTCCGCCAGCAACGGGGTAGGATTAAATAGTGAAACACGCTCTTTCTTATTCGAGCAAGACCCTGTATCCAGTCGGCGCTGGGCCCCCGTTCTCTAACGCAAGGGGGGCGCCGTGGGCGGCGCTGGAGGCGCCGCCCAGGGGGTCCACCACCGAGCCATCCGCGCGGACACCTCCGAGAATTCGTGTGCTGTGCAGCCTCGCTGGCTCTTCTCGGGAGCAGAGATCCACCGCCATACAGTGAAAACGTATAGTAAGGAAGCGTGGTAAGGACGCAAGACCCTTGGAGGCCGAAGTTGAAGCATTCTGGGCGGCAGGCGGCCAAACCCCCAGGGAACCTGAGAAACTGGCCAGCGAAACTTGCGAGGGACGGGCCGCAGAGGCTGAGGCAGGCAAGGACCCAAGGGTACCCTTGAAAAAATCGTTTGTCATTACTATGCGCGTTGACTGTAGTAGTCACCACGACAAGCGAAGCCGTGTCGTAAACGCACCCAAGGAAAGAATCGAACAGTCAATTGTTGGGTCCGGGCGGCTTTTCCTTCCTTGATCTGGTGGGCTTGTTCCCCACCACGACCACCATGAGCAGAAAGGGGAGGGGGTCCTCCTCCTCCTCCTCCACCTCCTCCTCCTCCTCCTCCTCCTCCTCCTCCTCCTCCTCCTCCTCTTCGTCCTCTTCATCCTCCACCTCCTTCCCCCCTCCAAATTATGGTGGTGATGGTGGAAAACAAGCCCATCATGATCCTCGACTGCAGGTACCTTTCGAGGCCACCCAGTACCCCTCGCCAGGGCCCCGCACAGCACACCGTGACCTCGACAGGCAGGATCAGCGGCGCAACCGAGAGAGCTGCAGCCGTGAACATCCAGGCCGTATCCACTGTGCTCAGGCTATGCTGCTCCCACAGGACCAAAACGCCAAACAAATTTCAAACACCCAAATAAGTATCGAAACAGTGTCGACAGTGTCGAACGAGTATCGCCTCCGAGGGTTCGACACGTGAAAACCCTCCAATTTAGGCACTTTCCTGGTGCTCGAAATTCTTTCTGGTGAGCAAGGCTAAATTAGGTTGGAACATCAGAATGCTCAGGGGAACAATCAGGGCCTCCCCCCACACGAAGGAGGGAACCATCGAGCCCGAATCGGGCGACTTCGGACACCATGGACCCAAACACGTTTTCATCTCTGGGGGGCGCATGTCTTACTTCCGCCACCTTCCGCCGCCCTCCCGCCGGCGGAGGCGGCTTCGTTCTACTTCCGCCGACCTTCCGCCGCCTTCCGCGGCGCAAGAGACGACAACTCCTTCGATCCTCGAGGGCAAGGCCCTTTTTTGGAACCCCTCGTATCGCCGTTGGGTCGGCGGTAGGTTCAGGTCGGGCCTGTCCCCTTACAGGGGGACGGTGGGCGAAAAATTAAAAATACCACCAAACAGTCTCAAACATGTTCAAAACACGTTGTTTTTGACTATTCTTGAATATTCCTCCTGTTGAGGGACAGGCCCGACTCACCAGTAGGCCCCTCTGACTGCGAAGCCGCACGATCCTGGGCGGGGTGGGCTGTCGGGCTCCTGTCGGCGATGTGTGTGCGATCGGGGGCCGATCCCTCCGAACGTTGCACCCGACTTGCACGTCTCGAGGTTCAGGGGGGGGGGGGTCGGGTTGGGTGCCAAGGACGAAGGAAGGAAAGACGGCGTCACCCCAAACTCAAGTCGGGCCTGTCCTCCTACAGGGGGATATTGCATGAAAAATGAAAAATAGTCAAACAATGCCCCCACATAGCCACAAAATCCTCCAAAAATCGTTCCCCGGCTATTTTTGGACGATTTCCCAACCATCCTGTGGTGTGGGGTCCTCGTTTTGAAGAGACGTCGCCTCGCGTTCCTTTCCTCCTCCTCCTCCTCCTCCTCCTCCTCCTCCTCTCCTCCTCCCCCCTCCTTCTTCCATGCGTTTCACCCACCCAACAAAACGTTTCGTGGCCCCCTAGGGAGCTCCACCGAAGCCCCCAGGTGGGACCGCCCGCATGCGTGCCCCACACCCACGTTGGCATTTCCACCCATCCAATACAGCGTTTCGTGGCCCAAGAGGGAGCTCCACAGAAGCCCCCACTGGGACCGTGCCCCACGCCCAATTTGGTTTCACCCATCCAGTACAGCGCTTCGTGACCCCTTAGGGTGCTCCACCGAAGCCCCCAGGTGGGACCGCCCGCATGCGTCCCCCACATCCAATTTGCCATTTTCACACACCCAACACAGCGTTTCGTGGTCCCCTACGGAGCTCCACCGAAACCCCCAGTGGGACCGCCCGCGTGCGTCCCCCACATCCAATTTGGCATTTTCACCCACCCAGTACAACGTTTCGTGGCCCCAGAAGGAGCTCCACCGAAGCCCCCAGTGGGACCGCCCGCATGCGTCCCCCACACCCAACTTGGCAATTTCACCCACTCAATACAACGCTTCGTGAATCCCTAGGGAGCTCCACAGAAGCCCCCAATGGCACCGCCTACATGCATCCCTAACATCTAATTTGGCATTGTCAACCACCCAATACAGCGCTTCGTGGCCCAATATGGAGCCCCACCGACGGCCCCAGTGGGACCGCCCGCATGCGTCCCCCACACCCAACTTGGCATTGTCACCCACCCAGTACAGCGCTTCGTGGCCCCATAGGGAGCTCCACCGAACCCACCAGTGGGACCGTCCGCATGCTTCTCCCACACCCGATTTGGCATTGTCACCCACCCAATACATTTTCGCCCACCCTTTACAACGCTTCGCGGCCACATGGGGAACTCCACCGAAGCCCCCAATGGGACCACCCGCATGCGTCCCACACGCCTCATTTGGTATTTTCACCTACCCAGTGCAGCGCTTCGTGGCCTCATAGGGAGCTTCACAGACGGCCCCAGTACTACCGCCCGCATGCGTTCCCCCCCCGCCCAGCGCAGCGCTGCGTGGCCCCATAAGGAGCTTCACCGAAGAAGATATTCACAATTGCGGTACCCACAACTTCATATGGTTGGGTCCTTCGCCAGGATAATTTTGAACATTCCTCCTATAGAGGGACAGGCCCGACATAATCCTAAACTTTCGGAGGTCCGCGCGGGATTCTTGGATCTGCGCTGGACACCCCTCCCCGGCGAGCCGAGCTCGCCAAGGGCGGCGCCAGAAGCCCCGCCAGGAGGGCCCAGCGCAGATCCGAGAAATGCGCGCGGATCACCCAAAGTGTCTGTTTACGCACTTCGGCATCGCTCGGCCGCCCAGTCCCCGTGCATGCTTTGGAGTCGTGGCTCCATTTTCGCACGAAGATCCGCCGTGCTCCTCGATGGTCCCCGCCGAGAAAATGCACACGCCCGTGCGATGCCAAGTGCAGTTGTTTTCTTCGTCGGCAGAAGCCGCCCGCGCGCGCGCGGAGAACCGGCGGGTCGGGCCCGCCGGGGCGCCGGCGAAGCGCTCCTTCAGCATCTCGCCCTCGGCCTGGTCGAGCTCTTCCAGAGCCGCCTCCAGCAAGCGGTACTGCGAGCCCACGGTCCTCGCGGAGGTCTCCCGCTTCCTGGCCAGCATCCTCTGGCCGGCGGCCTGGACGTCGCCCTGGGCGTCCACCAGCGCCGACTCCTTCTCCTTCTCGTCCTCCATCTCCTCGATCTCCTCCTGGAGCTCGGCGGCCTTCTCGGTCGCGGCCTCCAGGATGCCCTTGCGGCCGTTCTCGGCCATCCACTGGGGCACCTCCTCGCTCGCCTCCCTCAGCTCCGCGGCCTTGCACGCCGCCCAGCGATTGGCCCACTTCGCGTCCTCCTCCACGAGCTCGTCCATCCACTTGGGGGTCTCCTTCCCCTCGGCCTTGAGGCGCTTCGACTCCTGGACCGCCCACTTCGACTTGCCCCTCTTCTCGTCGTCGGACACGATCTTGTCCATCCACTCGGGAACCGTCTCGTTCTGGTCGAGCATCTGCTTCACCATCTTCTTAGACCACTCGAGGGTCAGATGCTGCTGCATGCGCTCCCTCCTCTGCCTCCAGGACAGCTGGCTCTCGTTCTTGCACCACGAGGGCGCGTCCTCTGGCAGCATGCCGAAGGAGCCCTCCTCGAAGGCGCCGCTGAGGTCGGCATAGAGCAGCTGCTCGCCGACAATGGAGGCGCTGGACTGCAGGAGCAAGGTGAAGTCCTGCTGGGCAGCAGCGCAATGCGCCAGCAGAGCGGCAAAGCACATCGCCCTGGACGCCATGGCCGCAGGAGGAGCACACAGGTCAGGTACGCAGGAAAGTTCACAGCGGGCGCTGGAAAGAAGGCCTCAAACCAAAACGGATTACGTAAGCCGAAACGGCCTCGACGAGCAATGGTGCTCTGATCATGATGGTGATGGTAATGACGACGACGATAATGCAACTGCTGATAATGATGCTGATGCTGATTTTGATGCTGATGACGATGATGATGATTATGATGACGATGATGAGGAGGAGGATGGTGATGGTGATGACGATGATGGTGCGTATGACGATGATGCTGCTGCTGCTGCTGATGATGATGATGATGATGATGATGATGATGATGATGATGATGACGTTGTGGCCAAAGACATGCCCAAGATGGACCTTCCAGCTGCTCCCGCAGCCACCACCTCTGCCAAGTCGTGGCCCACGTAACCAATCTCATGGGGCCCCTGCCCAACGCCCCAGTGACTGACTCTGGGAAGGCCAGCCCTTATCAGGGGCTTCCGAGTCTCATTCTGGGCGACGGTGGCCAGCCAGGGGCCTCCATGGTTGTAGACACACGCATCTGTTCCTCGGGGCCGGCAGGCTCAATCCACTCGACAATGTCCACAGCTAGGCCGCCAACGGGGCCCGAAGACTGCCTAAGAGGGCCTCAACACGGCCCAAGAGGCGCCCAAGACGGCCCAAGAGGGCCCCAAGACGGCCGCAAAGTGGGCCCAAGAGACGAAACACAAACCGACAATCCGAGCATTCCGCCCCAAGAGGCCCCCAGGAGGCCCCGAGAGGCACCCAGGAGGCCCAAAGAGGCCCCCAAGAAGCCCAAAGAGGCCCTCAAGAGGCCCTCAAGGGGCCCTCAAGAGGCCCCAAGATGGCTCCAAAAGACCCCCCACGAGATCCCAACGAACATCTCGTAAGCTTCATACCCACAACCCAGACACGGTGGCGGGATGGGCCGAAGGCCATTCGATCCGC